TTATCTTTGCCATGATGACATAATATTTGACTAGATATTATTTAAGATATTAGTATTCAGCTAAAAGTGCCATTTAAAGGCTTAACTAGGTTAATTAGGCAAGTTAGGGTAATTAGGTAATCATAGTATAATTATGGTTTGTTCTGCAGACATTTGAAACAAAATATTGCTAAGAGGCTAATTTTGACCTTAAAATGCTTTTTTTTTTCAAAAAAGTAAAAGCTTTTATTCTAGCCGAAATAAGACAAATAAGACTTTCTCTAGAAGACAAAATATTACAGGTAATACTGTGAAATATTCCTTGCTCTGTTAAGTCACATGAGGGCTAATAATATTGACTATACATCTAAACATAGCCTGAAACGTCAGATAAATATTTGCATAATTTATATATCCCAAATTTTAACTGCGTTCAATGAAAACACATTCTTTCAGCAGGTGCTGCCGAGAGATGAGACTTTCACGGAACTGAAAGTTCCACTGACGCTAGACATCTTGGAGATGAATCCTGGTGATGACACGTGTCGGTGATGTGCTACGACAGGCCTTTTCAGCACCCTCACAAACAGTTTTAGACCTGCGGGACTGAGGACAGCAATGAACCCTTCTCTCTATACCAACACAAATGCCATCTCAGAGTCTAAAACAGGGGTGCCCAAACTTTTTCTTATGAAGAGGCCAACATTCAAGCTTGATTGAGAGATGTGGGCCGAAGGTAAATTGAGCAAACTGTATGGCAGAATAGTTGCCATGGATCATTTTCTAATTTATTTTATAATAATTAAAAATAAAAAGAAAAGAATACTTCAATTGTGTTTACTAATGCATTTAAATTTTGCAAAAATATACAGTGCATCCGCAAAGTATTCATAACGCTTTTTATCCAACATTTTTAATGTTTCAGCATTATTCCAAAATGGGTTAAATTCCTTTATTTCCTCAAAATTCTACAAATATCCCATAATGACAATGTGAAAAAGATTTTATTAAAAATAAAACATGAAAAATCACATGTACATCAGTATTCACAGCCTTTGCTTAATTCTTTGTTGATGCACCTTTGGCAGCAATTACAGCCTCAAGTCTTTTTGAATATGATGCCACAAGCTTGGCACACCTGTATTTGGGAATTTTTGTCCATTCCTCTTTGCAGTACCTATCAAGCTCTATTAGCTTGGATGGGAAGTGACGATGTACAGCCATTTTCAGATCTCTCCAGAGATGTTCAATAGGATTTAGGTCTGGGCTGTGGCTGAGCCACTTATGTACATGTGATTTTCAGGTTTAACACATTTGCAACAATTTCAAAAAATCTTTTCTCACATTGTTATTATAGGCCATTGTGTGTAGAATTTTGAGGAAATTAATACATTTTGGAATAAGGCTGTAACATCAAAAAATTTGGAAAAAGTGAAGCACTATGAATACTTTCCTGGAAGCACTGTATATTATTTTAACAAACTTAGCCTTGATTTGCACAATGATTGTCTTCTGCTTTGTTCCCTTTTTGTTAAGTCACACTTTGTAATTTTTTTTAAAAATCAGTTTAATTTACAGCATTTAATTGAAACATTTAATTTCAGTTTTTTTTTGCTTTTTATAGTTCAACAACAAACAAACAAATAAAAGGTTACATTAAAATAGAAATTAGAATTTCTGTTTAAGGCATTACACAACCCTTCCCAATCGTTTTACCTCTGGCGGGACAAGCTAATGAATACAAAGGGTCAACTTAGACCCGCGGGCCCTAGTTTGAGCATGTTTTGTTCAAAAGCATAGTCGTGAACAAAGCTTCCATTACTAGAAATAGATTTTGGCCACACTTTACAATAAGGATTCATTCAACCCAGGCTCATTCTGATTGCATACCCCTATATACATTTCAAGACAGCGAAAAATCGACCGAGGAGAAACTATTTTGCAGACTATTTTGAAACTTTATTTTGCAGTTTTTGTTTTTGCAAATCCATCAGAGGCTGCTGTGTATGCTTTTTGAGATCTCAAATTTCTCTCGCGAGTGCCATTCTTACTTGCTCTTCACACATAAATCCACCAGAGGGTGCTGCATACGCTTTTTGAGATCTCAAATTTCTCTTGCGAGTGCCATTTGCACCTGTTCTTCTCACGTAAATCCACCAGAGGGGGCTGTCAACTGACTGCCTGACCGACTTACTGATCCGCTTACCCCCTTCCCTAAACCCAACCGATAAGTGTTTTAAAAAGCACCGACTGACCAGTGCCCACCCCCTTCCCTAAACCTAACCGACAGTGTTTTTAAAAGCAATCCAGAAAAAGAAAAGCCCCCTGATTTTTATTCTATTTTTAGATCTTACCACGTTCTCACCCTGGTATTAACTTGTTTGTTTTGCTGTTTGGCTTTAGTTTTTGCTTTACCAGCTTTCTAGAACTGTTTAAACTCGAACCCCGTCCTCACGGTCAACTCCGCTTTACGCCTCAAACCCACCAACGTATGCAGTGAGCCACTGGACTAACTGGTAGCAGCAGAAAAGCCATCAACATGGATGTAAGCGGTCAGCTGGTAAGCACGAAAAGGAATAACGCCATACCACCCTGTGGCGTTCGTTTTAAAGAGGAAATGCAGCCATACATACTTCTGGCTACATAATTCACGATCTCCAGAAATGTACATAGGGGTACATTTTCAGAATGAGCCTAAATTGAATTCATTAGTTTGTGTATTTAGGTAAATGACACAACTCAACTCAAGACTTATTTGCTGATCAAATATCATCAAACCTCATTGTTACGAATATCCTGAATCCTTCATGTTAGTATATCCTCCATTAGATGAATTACTGCGACTGCGTGTTGAAATCTGCTACTGTGTGAGGATGTCCCCACAAATCAAAAAAAGCTAAATAAACATACTCAGTTCTGTCATAATGAAGCTGTAAAAATGGCACAAGGTTTATGTCAGTGTTAGGTTAAGGTCAGGAGATAGAACACATCATTAGTTCAGCACAAAAACAGTGTGTGTGTGTGTGTGTGTGTGTGTGTGTGTGTGATGGTGACTCTTCACAGCTGGTGGAGCCAGGGAAGCGCTGGGAGCGTCGCCCACCCCTCATAAACTCACAAAGACACTTAATAAGCCCCCTGACGAGTGATGCTTATGGATTTCTGCGCTGCTAATTTCCGTAACTATCACTGTTTGAAAGATAGCCCTGAGGATTTGGGGTAGCAGAAGGGCCCTTGTCTTAGCCCAACACAAGAGCTGTATTATGCTATATAAAAAAAAAAAAAGAAGAAGAAAAATCTTGTAGCGTCCCTTTCCTCCTTCAAAGCCCTGCATTAGCTATCTTGCATCAATGCCATTCTAAACCATTATACTGTATGGTAAATATCAGCTATCAACTACTGTCCATTAAAACCATGCGCATGAACACAAAAATGCATACCAGTGAATGATCTACGCAAGACTTGCTATAAATGTAGAAGAGAACATGACGTTCTGCAATTGTCTGGTCCATTCAGGGATGTGTTTGGCTGTGAAATATGTGATAAAGGTGTTTTGTTACCCTATTGAGTTGGTTTCTCCAGGCCACTGCCCAAAAATCCCTTAATTATATAGTAAAGACACATGCAGGGAACTTGATCTTCAACAGCTGAGCGAGGCTGAGGAGATTAGGACATTGTGATAAAAACTCACTAGCCATCGCAACACACACATGTGTGTTCGAAAACATTCATTCATTTTACTTCGGCTTAGTCTCTGATTTATTCTGGCATTTGTTTTACGTAGTGGATGCCCTTACAGCCACAACCTAGCACTGGGAAACACCCATACACGCTTTCATTCACACACACTCATACACTACATCCAATTCACCTAGAGCGCATGTCTTTGGAGTGTGGGGGAAACCGGAGCACCTGGAGGTGATAACACAGGGAGAACAGACAAACTCCACACAGAAATGCCAACTTGTCCAACTCGAACCAGCGACCCCTGGAAATGGTTCTTCCCTGAGACTTACCCGGGTATCAAGTCTTCACTGTAAAAACTGCAACAAGTCCTTCATGTAAATGTAATGTGTATTTATATAGCGCAGTTATTGTGTATGCCCGTACACCTAAAGAGTGTGCAGCATCTACTTGGATGATACGATGGTGACCACAGGGCAATAGCACTTGTGCGCTCTCCAAACACCAGCTATTGGTGGAGTGGAGAGATTGTGATAGAGCCAATTTGGTGGATGGGGATGATTGGGAGGTCATGATCGTATAAGGATTAAAGGGATTTGTCCAGGACACCCAGGTTACACCCCAACTCTTTACAAGAAGCACTATGGGATTTTTAATGACAAGAGTCAGGACTTTGGTTAAACGTCTCATCCGAAACACGGTGCTAACTAACAGTATAGTGTCCCCTTCACTTTATTGGGGCATTAGGACTCACACAGACCACAAATTGGGCACCTAACATCATCTCACTAACATCACTTCCAACAGCAATCGAGTTTTCTCATGTGGTCTCCCATACAGGCACTGACCAGGCTCAGCTCTGCTTACCTTCACTAAGTAACCAGTCTTGGGCTGGAGGGTGATATGGCTGTGGCTAACTGCTCTTGCCCCAACACAAACCGATTAAGTTAACTTAATTGTTTTTAAAAACTTAGGTTGATTGAACACAATTAAGTTGTCCATATAAAACCTTAAGAAACGTGACAATTCAGCTCATTTTAAGTAAATAGTTGGAACAAGCCCTAAACATTGTTTTTTGAGCATTGGATGGCTTAATATAACACTAGCTATGTTTCCATCCAAAAATGCAAATAAACTTTATGCGCAAAACTCGATTTTCGCATAAAAGTTGTGCGAATGAAGCATTGTTTCCATCCAACGAGTCAAAGCGAAAAAAATCGTCACTTCCTGATTAACTGGCGCCAAATATCAACAGTAAAAACTGCATTTGCTGCAGTGGGAGACGCTGCATCAATCTTTTTTAAATGTATGCACCTCAGAAGACAATCCTGCACTGTTAAAAATTGTCCCGTTAAAAAACAGCAAGTTACTGGCAGCACAGTTGCCAGCAAGTTACTGTTAAATTAACAGCATCTAGCTGTAGTTGAAATTTACAGGTTGTTACTGTTTTTTAAAAATACAGCAAAAAGCTGTTATTTTCTACATTAACAGTAATTTACTGTCAAAAGTAACGGTTAATTAATGTTTATTTGAATTTTTAACTGTAAACTACAAATATGTTATCCTGAGAAATAAACTGCTAAGAAAACAGGTATATATACATTTTTTATTTGTTATAAAAACACAGTTTAATACAATGCACACATATAGCCTTATTGGAAACAATGCTAAAACTAAAAAATGCAGTGTAACTTCAAGTTTTATTACATCTTATTACATTTAAATATTTCAAAATTACTGGCAATGGAAAATAAAGTGGAATTACTACAACGATTACTACTCTGAAAACTTCTAAGTGAATTACAGAATTAGTTAGTAAGAAATAAAAAAGAATACAATGAACAGTTTAGGTATTCAAGAACAAACACCTGAAAAAAAGTACGCGACTAACACAATAAAATGAGTGCCATTAGTGAAGAGGATGTGTAAGGTGTGTGTGTGTGTGTGTGTGTGTGTGTGTGTGTGTGTGTGTGTGTGTGGTGTCACTTATATGACATCCCACTCAAAGTCCAATAGCTTCTTTAAGTAAACTGGCAACCTTAGTGTTGACAATTATTTTTGTGGGTGACCTTCCCCATTCCCTTCGATAGGATGTGTCCACTCTTGGAGCCTTTTTCAGGGTTTACCCATGAAGCTTCTGAAAAATGCATACATTCAGAATTAGTGTGGGTTAAAGTTTATATGATAATAATGTGAAGAAAAATAAATATATGAATCTAACCTCTGAATTAATTCCAATGTGCATGCAGCCTCAGCTTGGTTCTCCACATTGAAAATGTCGTAAGATGAAAACACAGCCGCTATACCAGACAGAAAAATTGGCTGGATGCTTTTACAGATTATTTGCCCCTCAAAAATGATCATCCATTTATGAATGTAGCTTCCTGGTTTTTCTCCTAAAACAATTAAAAGAAAAAAACAATGTCAGCAGTCGCATGAAATGTTATTTTTTATAGCCTAGTTGAAAATATATGTGAGGGAAGCAGAAGTAATTTTACTTGGTCTCAAAGCCCTGTTCTTTTAACACAGTACATGCATTTGAAAATGTTGATTGTGGACTCACCATGTACAGTGAAATCAACATGTACAGTATATACTGTGTATTGTGAAATTGTCACTGCAATGTTTGTGATTTATTTAACTTAATATTTATGATCAACATAGCGTGTTAAACAACTAAGTGTTAAACAACTAAAATGGAGTAATTTAGTAAATTTAGTAAAATTCACCAAAGGTGAATGAAAGCTTGGATAAAATATGGCAGAACATTTAATTTATGTATTTGTGTATTTTGTTTTGTTCAAAAGAATTTACCATGTTTGCTAAAATACAGAGAAAACACCCTTAGTTGCTTAAGTAATAAAATACAGTTCTAAACATACCAAAAAGTATCAGTCAAGGAATTGCAGGTAGTTCAAGGGTCTTTTCTACATCAGGTACAGTAGAAGATGCCTAAGACAAGAATTACAATGATGAGGAAAGAGACAAAATTAACAACCATAATGTATGCGTAACATTTTTTAATTGTATGTTCAGTTATTAGGACAATAATACCACATAGCAAATAATAATAACTTTACCATGTTATCATGTTTCATTAAACTCACCTTGTAATCAGTAATCAATATCTGTATCAGAAATCCAGCTCCACTCTATGATGCAGTTAGCATGTTCACAGGTTCAGCACTGAAATGGACATATAAAACAGTTTATCGTGGTGATTAGCCAATTGTACTCGACAAAGTAGCATTACAATACAAACCAACTACAGTAAAATTTGCAAACACAGCATTAGGGAAATAAATGTTTTATCAAAGCCTACATTGAAGCCATATTAGGTAGCTATTAAAAGCTAAAGCTAAAATTAGCAATGAGATGACAATCTTTTCATCATGCTACATAAATCAATACTACTTTGTTGCTACATATGTTTAAAAACTGACTTTGTAGATAAGCTTATAGCCTATATCATTTTTATATATCATATTCTGACTTACCGTGTAATCAGGAAATATCTGTGTCAGAAATCCAGTTCCACTCAATGCAGATGCAGTTTGCACATTGACAGATTTAGCACTAAAATAGATGTAAAAAAGTTACAATATCAGCATCCAGTTAGCCTATGTGGAATCACAAATGTGTATTTTGTGTAAAATGAGCAAAATAAAGGTGCACTTACCGAGTAAGTCACAGTAAACAAAAGGATGAAAATCCACATGTGATGGCTGATGTTTTCTGTTCGAAAAATACTGTTGATTGCTGTTTTTTTACATTAGTGTGATAAAAACAGTAAAATAATGTTAAATTTTGTCTAAGTCATTTCAAAAACTGTAAGAAAACAGCAACATACTGCTTTTGACAATAACAGGATTATACTGTTAAAATTTTGCCGTAAATTAACAGCAATTTTTAACAGTGTGACAAGCAGTGAGCGCACAGTGGCGTCTGACGCGGAGCACAGCCGCTCTTGATTCTGGAGGTCATTAATAATATAATAACATTAATACTGAAATTGGAAGGCGTTTTATAATGACCAAAATAACATTTCTGATGTTTTATAATGTGCTCAGCCTGACGTTTTATCCATTCACACACATTTTAAGCATCACATGATCTCTTTCAACAAAATCACATGACCTTTTTTAATGCGCATGCTGGAGTTTGTGTGATAAAAGTGTTTCCATCGCAGTTTATGCGCATCTTTTCTTATCGAATAAAAAGTTTATCCTACCCAGTTAGGCGCATACGTTTTTTATGCACATTTTCAAAATTTATGCGCATCATGGCGTTTTCATCAACTGTTTTTTTTATGCGCATTTGCAAAAAAATAAAAAATAGGTGGATGGAAACATAGCTACTGTCTCTTACATGTGTAATACATATTATTAGGGCCAGACGGAATCTGCGGACATTTTTTGCTATTTCTGCTGAGAATTTTGGTAAAAATCAGCGAATTTCTGCAAAATTATTTTGGGAGTATCATAACTAAAACCTTAATATGTGAAACAAAACAAATTATCTTTTTAACTTTTATTTAATGTTAAAATGCTAATCCAATTAGATTCACTTTATCTGAAAAACAAAGCAAGTCTCTCATATATAGCTACTAAAAGACAGAGAATATTACTGTACAAACAGCATTTTACAAAATCAGATGAATCTGTTCATATTAGTCAATAATATTACTGAAATTAATTAAAAAACTTAATCAATATATATTTACGCACATTTACTCAAGTAAATAAACAGAATAAATTATGGGCTAAAAAATCGGCAGAAATCTGCGGAAAATCCGTGGAATTCTGCGCACAGATTCCGTGTGGGCCTGCATATCATCAAGAGACATAATTTACATTATGTTAAGGCATACAAGTCTTACTACACCACACTGTCAGAAATAAAAGGTACAGGAGAAGACACTGGGGCAGTACCTTCTCAAAAGGTGCATATTTGTACCTGAGGAGTCCATAATGGTACCTTAAAGGTTCTTTTTAGGTACATTTGGTTGCTTATATATACTTTTAAAGGTACCACTGTGGTTTTTGGGTACAAATATGTATCTTTTAAAAAGGTACAGCCCCAGTGACAGCTCCTGTACCTTTATTTCTGAGAGTGCAGGGTTTACTTTGGAGCATCTCTTGCTGATTTAATGAAAAGCATGGAGCCAAGAGCTTGAAATGATTACCGCTGCTCTGTACGAACTGTAAATGGAATCAATGCAAAGAAATGGTTGCAAGAATGTGCATTGTGTCTAACAGATTTTCACGGCTCTAAACCCAGACACTGGCAAATGGAAAGAGTCTGAATCTGCAGAACTGTTCATTTCTTGTTCATTGGGTTATTCTTGACGGACTGGTTCAGCGGTCCCAGACTGAGCCTGGCTTTGGACTTGGGTGAGATTTACAGCCTTTTTCCACTGTCAGAACTGAACACATGTCAAATGGTACCAAATTGGAATTTGGGTGTACTTTGGACTACTGTGCCGGAGGTCATGTCTTTATGGATTCAGCTGCACGATTCTTTTAACATGACGTAGATTGACATACGTATCAAATATGACAGCAGTGCTGAGGAGTACAGTACTGTCTTTAACACTTTATTAATTTGCAAGTGGCGAGGCAGTGGCGCAGTAGGTAGTGCTGTCGCCTCACAGCAAGAAGGGTCGCTGGGTTGCTGGTTCGAACCTCGGCTCAGTTGGCGTTTCTGTGTGGAGTTTGCTTGTTCTCCCTGCCTTCGGGTGGGTTTCCTCGGGGTGCTCTGGTTTCCCTTACAGTCCAAAGACATGCAGTACAGGTGAATTGGGTAGGCTAAATTGTCCGTAGTGTATGAGCGTGTGTCTGAATGTGTGTGTGGATGTTTCCAAGAGATGGCTGGAAGGGCATCCGCAGTGTAAAAACTTGCTGGATAAGTTGGCGGTTCATTCCGCTGTGGCAACCCTGGAATAATAAAGGGACTAAGCCGACAAGAAAATGAATGAATGAACAATTTGCAAGTGATGCAACAGAGGGTGGCACGGTGGCTCAATGGGTAGCACTGTTCGCTTACAGCAGGAAGGTTGCTGGTTTGAATCCTGGCTTAGTCAGTTGGCCTTTCTGTAAGGAGTTTGCATGTTATCCCTATGTTGGCGTGGGTTACTTTCGGGTGCTCTGGTTTCCCCAAAGACATGCGATGCAGGTGAATTGACTTAACTGAATTGGCTGTAGTGTATGAGTGTGAATGAGTGTGTATGGGTGTTTCCCAGTACTGGGTTGTAAATGGAAGGGCATCCGCAAGGTAAAACATATGCTGGATAAGTTGGCGGTTCATTCCGCTCTGATGAATAAAGGTGAAAGCTGAAAGAAATTGAATGAATGAATGAATGATGCAACATAATATACAGTGTATTGTGTATACTGCATGAACATGATCTCTTAACCTTGAACTACTGTGTCAAGTCGCTAATCTAGTTCTCAAGAGTTCAGCGCTGGGGTCTCTGACACCTTCTCAATAAAGGTTTTATTTTTTATGCAAAGCTTTCAGCCCAAACACAACTGTAGCTACTGCACAGAGGTGCAAAAACCTCTCGGCACTAGAAGAGTTAGAACAATGGTGTTTTAAAAGCCCTAGACGCGTGCATGCATACAGTACAAGCATAAACACTCCTGTTTAAAAGCCCCATCTGTTCACCAATCCTACATTTCATAGTATGGAAAAGATTTGCCATCACAAGAATGAATAACATTTATTCATATTAATATTTGAAAATCATGATTAATAGTTGAAGCTTTTGTCACAGTGTGCGGTACTATCACGATTTGGACCTATACGGCAAATACATGATTTATTGCTTTATTATACACGTTCAGAGCAAACAAATATATTAAACTGCAAGTACAATAGGTAACTCTTTACAAAAACATCTCAGTAGTAAACATTAGTCAATTCATTAAAAAATAGCCTTATTATAGTTCTGTTAATTGATGAAAAATACAACTGCATTTTATAAGCTATAATTAAGCCCGCGCAGAATTTCCGTGCGCAGAAATCCACAGAATTACGCAGATTTTTAGCCCATCATTGAGTCTATGTATTTACCTGTGTAAATGTGTGTAAATTTATATTTATCCAGTTTTAAATTAATTAGCTGATGTAAACAAAAGGATCCATTAAGGACCAAAAGGTCAATAAATAGTTAGGTTATTTTCAATGTCGTTGGCCAGATTAACATGAAATCTGTTATCAAATCTTTAAGCATTTGGTGCTGATGACAAAATGATAAGCAATAATCTAGTGAACATACTGTACATTTAGTTCAAAACAATACATACAGTATTATCTATTATAACAATTAGTATGTCTAACTGCCCGTAAATGCCCGATCTACTGCAGTTCAAACCGAGCATCAGAATGAGGAAGAAAGCTGATTTAAGTGACTTTGAACGTGGCATGGTTACGGGCTGGTCTGAGTATTTCAGAAACTGCAGATCTACTGGGATTTTCACGCACAACCATCTCTAGGGTTGAATGGTCCGAAAAAAAGAAAATATCCAGCGAGTGGCAGATCTGTGGGTGCACAAGCCTTGTTGATGCCTGAGATATATTTTTTTTCTAAACCTGCTATTAAATATTAAAGCAAAAGCTTTAAATACAGACCAAACTGCAATCTCATTGAAACCTGTCTAAACAATGTTCTTGAAAAGCAAGTTCCTACCTAAAGTGTACTTGACCTCCACCAACAGTTGTGCATCTTTCAGTTGTGTAAAATAACACAGGAGTAAGATTACAAAACACTTCAAACACAACAGCTGTGCAAAATATTTCAAACGACTCCAAAAGTGGCCCTATAGCATTGATCCCAACCATGTGTCTCATTCAGATGAGGCAAGAAAAAATGCTTATTTAGCTACCTGCTCATGCAGAACCGGACTGTTTACCTGGAATAGTCTGGAATGCACAAACAACACTCGGTTCTAATGATTTTACATGTTCCTCCCTGGGAGACTTCACGTTTCCAAATCAATCTTCTTTGATTAATGTTCCTCGGCTTCCTTGATTAATGGATTTGTCATCTTTAAGGGTTGTATGTCTGGTCTCTCTTTCGTTCTGTCCTCCGGTGCCAGGGATGCCAGAGTACCTGGGCCGACGCTGCTGCAGCTGCCAACTTTCTGTCAGTCAGGAATGTAATTAGTAAGAATTAAGCTGCTCCGAGCTAAAGAAAGGGGTCAGCCAGAGCTGGGAAGGTCGAGGCGGGTCATTACCGAGCATTTTCTTCTCAGCCAGGGTGAAAAGGTGTCATGTTTACGTTGCACTGAGGTGGGCTTAGCCTGTGACTTCCATTCTCTCTTGAAGGAACCTATTC